GAGAGAGAGAGAGAGAGAGAGAGAGAGAGAGAGAGAGAGAGAGAGAGAGAGAGAGAGAGCAACTGACCCCCTTCACACGTATCAGAGGGCCCATGCAGGTAATCTGAAGGGTCCTCGCAGCAATTTAGCGCGGACCCTCCACCAAAATGGAGGCAGGCAGTGAATACGAAGTGGAGCACGAGCTGGCTGAATATGTACTCAGGATTCGTATTCAGGTATGTGTTTCGGCAGTTATGGGTTGCTCTCTTAGCTAGGCCCTGTTGGTCTCTGCAGTGTCTGCACTTGATTCTCAGGGCTTGGCTGCACTACTCACCAAATGTGCAACATTAGAATGAATCTTCTGCTAGAACGTGGAATAATACGCCGCCATATGTTTTGTCTTTTGTGCAGGTGGTGAGTAGAGGCCCTTAGGGCCACTGCACGTATTCCTAAGAAAATAAAAACGAGAAAAAAGAGAATTAGTGACCCATAACCGTGATGCACAGACCTAAATTTGAATCCAGACTATATATTCTCGGCCCACGCATACAAACTGGAAGTCTAAAGTCTATCTCTGATCCATGTGGGGTCCTCGCTAATGCGCTGTAGGGGCCCTTCGGAAAAGAGACTGAACACAATTAGGACATGCACACCCATGTCCAACGGTTCTCGTACCACTGTTGGGATAGAGGGCTGACACAAGGGCTTAAAAAAAAAAAAAAAAAAAAAGGACATGCGCACCCACACACACAGACATGTGCCCACAGTTTTGGAGTATGGTGTGGCCCCAACTTTTTTCCCTCTTGCTTTCTGATTTTTAGAAGCGAGGGGCATGTTTGGCCACCCCACCCTGTCCTTTCTTTTTTTTTTTTTTTTTTTTTTTTTTTTGGTGATGCATCGCATCATGTGCGCTCTGCGCCGCATGTGCGGCGACCCCGCGCACCGGATGCGCCGCAAGTGTGCAATGGACATGTCCAGGTCGTCAAGATTCGTGACTGATGCCGCTTTCTGTTTCTTCCAAAAACAAGTTTTCTTCCTTTCGCAACTCAGCAGTTATTTTCTTTTGCCTCTCCATTTGTGTTTCTTTCGACTTTTTTGACATTGCCGCAGGCGTTGCACCTTACAAGAAAGTTTTGACTCACGGGTTCGTCCTGGACGAGAGAGGATACAAGATGAGCAAATCGCTTGGAAATGTGGTGGACCCCCAATTGGTGATTGAAGGCGGGAAGAATCAGAAGGTATGGTTGGTTGGTTGTTGATGTTGTTGTTGTTGTTTTTGTTTTTTGTTTTTTGTTTTTTTGTCTTTCGAGGGAGGCTGGGATGGGGAGCTGCGGGGCCGTAAATGGCAAGGGGTGTTTTCTCGTAGGAGCAGGGATGTCTATCTAGTATCTACTATTCGGTGGCTTCTTTTTCTTTTTTGGGTCCTTTTTTTTGTCCCCCTCTTTCTTGGATTTGTCACCCTTACACTTCTTTGTCTTTTTCTCCTCCTCCCCCCCCCCCCTCTCCTCCTTTTTTCCCCTTGGATTTGTTTCCCAACTCTTTCGATGCAGGAGGAGCCAGCATATGGAGCAGATGTGTTACGGCTGTGGGTTGCCAGTGTGGATTACTCGGGCGACGTACTGATTGGCGGGAAAATTCTACGTCAGATGTCAGATGTGTACAGGAAACTGCGGGGAACCCTGCGCTACATGCTTGGAAATTTGCACGACTTCAACGTAAGTGGAAATTGAGGGGGGAGGGGGAGGAATGAAAAGAAAAGGGGGTTAGCTTTTCCTGGTTTCCTTCTACGCCTGGGGTTGGGACCCACTAGGGACGGTTTACAACGACTTGCTGGCGTTTTCAATCACATGCGGCCTTTCGTGACACATATACAGTCCGTGGATGGAGATTGATATCCGCGGCCAGCCCCGCCTGTTTGTGAAACCGTGAACTTTCGTGGCTGGGGTGTCGACCCTGCGCTATATGCTTGGAAATTTG